ATTTTATGAAATCAACCTCCCTATAGAGTTGTGGATTTTGTTCATGAAATTATTTATTTAAAAAAATGCTCATTTTGTAACCCAGTCCATTTTATCTGCTGTCTGTACAATAGTCACAATTTGTGCTGGATGTTTTTAAAGGTGAAGTCAACAACAACAAAAAAGAGGAACACCACCTGTTTCTTCACGCTAAATCACTGTTTAACTTCTCCAAAACATTTGGATTATTCTTGTTTTAGTGACGCTAACTTCTGTGAAGTTGTACGTTGAAGTATTTTTGTATCTGGATCTTTGCTTTTCATGTTTGCTCTCTTGTCGATTGCTGGCTTTAAGGTCGGTTCGCTATGATCTGCTTTACTGGAGTTAATGGTTCACTTCCGCACACCGAGACCCCCTCAAGTCTGTTTAAATTATTTCTGAAGGGAAGTAAGTGAAATTATATTAGAAATGTTTCAGGTTTTGGTAGTAATTTCCTCTAAGGTTTTCACTTTTACAGTGTGGGCCAGAAGTTTAAGTAATCAATCACTGATTTATTTTGGACTTTTATTGATGCATTTCAAGAGTTTCTTCTGTGGACCTTTGAACGAATAATTTCCACTAATTATAAAAGCACATATTTGGTGCAGGAGCTTTAGTTTGTTAAGCCGTATAAGTTCAAAATTAGATCTACACGATGTGAGAGATTCATGAATCTCACATAATTTAAATTTATCTGGTAGGATAAATTTTGCATGTCAGTCTCATTGTGACTGTCAGGCAGTTTGAGCTTAACTTATCAAAATGTTTGGCCACTCTTCTTATCAGAAATTGTATTCAGTATTGAGAAACTGTAATTTTATTTTGAACCATAGTTCATAATTTTCCTGGTTGAGATCAGATCTAGTCCAGAAGCTTAATGTTATCTTGTTTTATCCATTCTAAAAACAGTTTTACTCCATGTTTCAAAGCGGTTAACTGTGACCCAAAATGCTAACGCAGATGAAAAGAACGTCGTTTTTGAAGTAGTTTTGGAATGGATAGGTCAGCGTAATATTTAGTTTCTTTACAAGGGCTTAACCTAAACTTGATTGACAGTTGGTAGATTTGACTTTAGAGCAAAATCAGTGGCAGAAAACATCTAAGTTGAATCATTTCTGATGAGAACAGTGGTCGAATAACCAGCTTCAACTTGTTCAACTTACTAGAGCACTCTTATTAGTGGGTTTAAGTTTAACGCTGATTGCTCTTGAGGGAATCCTAAATAAATGCAAACTTCTGCCCCCACATTTGTTTTTGAAATTCAACAAAGTTGAAGAAATGCTTTATTAAAAGACCAAAATTAATTAGATTTATGCCGATGATAACATTACATTCTGACCAACAACGTAGGTGTAGCTGCACTGTGTTTAAATATAAAATGAAGGCCTGGAGACTTTGGTTGTTTCCACCCCTGTTACTCTACCTAACAGTTGAACTTTTTTGAGCCTTGCCTTGTACGCTTGAATCCTGGACGTAAAAGATGAAGGCTAGTGCAGACGGACATTTTAAACAAGCTTGGCTAGCTACAGTCTCTCTGCTTCTGTTTACAACTTCTCCTTTGAAGTCATGTAAAGTTAAGTGCCATGTCATTTACAGTACAATCAGTCCCTGCAGTCCTCTTGACGGCTTATTAAGACTCCTTACACAGAAGCTGTGATATTCTCAGAGGTTCCTGACTTCTGAGAGATGCTCCTCTTGAAGTTATGTTGTGATCCGTTGGAGGAGGTTCGGTCCTTCGTTTATCAATCACTCAGGGAGTCCTTCAGTTGGCTTTTTCTACACACGTCTCCGAGTGATCCTTTCACCCAGAGCGGACTGTGGTGATGAAGCGTCAATGATATTATTACCAACGTTTACTTTACTGGTGTTTCCTTTTCCTCCTCTCAGTATCAATATTGGCTCTGCTTTGAGTATCAATGAAAAAAAGGGCTGGGCACATATGGGACTGTGTGTAAAGGAGTTATCGTGAGTATTGAGTCAAAGTGTTTGTTTATGAAGTTTCCATGGAGCCCTGCTGGCTGATTGCACTGGACAAGTCCGCCGCCCACCTCCCAGCCAGCCCACCCTGCATCCCGTGACATGCATGCGACACGGCCCCTCTTGTGATTGCAGAGGAATACCAATGATTCTGTAGTTGTGATACAACACACCCGGCGCTGTAAGAGTTCTGCACATGCCCACTGTGTGGCCACGTCAAGTGCTGAAGTTTGTTTGCAGCGTCTTATTTGCTTGCTCGGAAAATTTAATATCGTTTATCAGCGACTTTATTAATATTGTTGATATTAAAACCACATTTGGTTGTTGTGTTATTATTATTTTTTTTTCCTTCTCGATATTTTTGAAGTTTGCTCATTTTGGTTAAACTTATGAGTTTTCTGTAACTTTTTTTAAAATCAGACAACAAAGTTTCTGAATATTTTAAATTATATGGGGGGGGAATCTTGTTCGTTGATTGTGAAACATAATGAACTGATGTTTGAAGTATTCATGTCTGTATTAGACATTTTATTTGCAAATCTATTGTTCGATTGAAATGTAAATGAATTTTTTAAGAGATGGTACACATCTGTCATTGTATACAGTCTGGCACCATCATTAGATGGACTTGTAGTATTAACGCTCATTTCTACAGCCTGTGATAATCAGATTTATTTAAATGGTCCAAATCCTTGGGGCAGTTGTGTGATGTCTCAGAGCCGAGAAGGTCTGATGCTTCTGAGACAAAACCTCTTAAAACGTCCCAAAAATTAATAATACTGTTACGTATTCCATTTATTTCCTCGGAAATATCGCATTGTGAAAGGTTTCCCTTTTACTTACTGTATTTGTAATGCAGATCTGGAGTTAAGTCTAACCCTATGGTGGTGATGATGATGATTTATGTGCTATTAATAATTGATGAAGCAGTCTGTGTATTGTTTTACTGACTGACTGATTATTTTCTGTGTTTTTCTGGCTGGTTCAGCGGTATTGCACTGACCTAGAGACTGGCTGAGCAGGAAACCACTCCTGTGTTGCACTGAGTGTTATAATAAGGAACATTAGAGTATATGAAACTGCATGCTTTAATAAACTGAGAGCTGTGAAACGCTTCTGTGTGTTTGTAACCTCTGTGTTATTTTCGTCCTTTGACACTTTTCCACATCATGTCAATGAGTTTTCTTCGGTGTATGTTTGCATGATTTTTTATTTTTTTTTTTTTTACTACGGCACATGAACATTTCTTGGTAGGAATTAAAAAGATAAATTATAGGTTTTTAAAACTCACTGTGTCATGCAAGATAAGCTTAACACAAAGAAGACAAAACCCCCCAGAAACTTCTGGTTTCAGACAGAAGAGGAAAAAAGACAGATATAATTCTGACAGGGCAGAAGAAAAACACTCAGAAGAACACTGCCAGAAGTACGCAAGAGCTTCTGAAGGAAGAGCGCGTGAACCAGAGCTGCGCATGTAAGTCACCTGACATGGATCTGGCAAAACACACGTAACAGGAAAAGTGAAGTAACACAATGCCAATTCAAGGCCAATTCAACAAAGGTCTATAAAGAAGTACAATAGATTTGTTTGAAAGAGGAAACACTTTTTCTCTCATCCTTCCCAGTCTATAGTGAAAAATGAAATGCATTTAATCAAGACTTTTCACTTTAAGATTTTTAACTGCGACTCAAACCGAGATGTCTTAGTCATGAGCAACAAGCGTTTGGATTTGACATTTCAGTTGATGGGCACTTGAATGAAAGTATTCTATTTTTGATATCTTGCCACTTAGTAGCAAACCAGCTCACAGAGGAAATTATACAAGTGTTGAAAAGTAGATTTTGTTTTTTAAACCGCACACTAAAAATAATTTTCTCTTCTTTACTTGAGTTTGATTTTTTGTTTTTATGTTAAAATGTGAAAGAATGTTGTGCTGCATTAAACTTCATCCATGTGTCACTAAACAACAATATCCTTACCGGCTGGACAGGAATGACCAGCATGAAAACAACTCAAGGTGAACAGTGGGCGTGTCCACACTAGACCGCACTGTGATTTGGTGACAGGGGAACAACAGACTCTTTCACTTTGACAGCAGAACTATGATGTGGATAAATTGTTTTCTTCACAATCAAATTGCAGCTGAATAATATTTTTTCACGCTACTCATGTCATTTTTAGCCATTCTTTGATAATACTGCAGGTTCAACAAGGTAATTTACTTGTGAGGACAAACTACAGTTCACCAAAAGGATTCACTTTTGGTGAATTGTTTCTTTCTAAAAATGTAACTTTAAAAAAAAAAATACATTTCCTATTACATTTATAAAATGTGAGATAATACCCCAAATGTTTGGTGTACGTCAAAATTGATGGGTTTTTAAAAAGATAAGACTCTATGGGATTCTATGGGCTTATTAGTTGTCAATATTTCACCTACCTGTAGACATCTGTAAGAGAGATTATAGTTTAAACAGCTACATGGAGAGGTGCAATGCAACTAACAAAATTAAAGTTTATTGAGGTCTGAGTGATGTCCCCCTGGGTGATGCTTGATTTTTTTTTTTTTTTTTGTACTACAGCACATGCACATAGGTTGTCAAAGTTGTAAAGATCTACTGGGACTACATTTGAAGATAACAGCTCAAAGAAGGATTCTTCATTAAAGAGAAATTACAACCCTGAGCATCCTCTTCAACTGGATTAATAAAGTTTTTGGAATTTGAATTCTGTGTTTATATCACTAGTCTTGAAATGAATTTTCCTAGTAAGCAAAATTCTCCTGCTAAAGAGTTGAACTGCAATATACCCCTACTTGACAAAAAGACTTAAGCTGAGGGTAACATTCTTTCTTTTAACCAAGAAGCATCTAACCCCAGGTCACCGAGGCCAACGCCTCACCTCACTTGGCTCAGCAGCAGCACTCGGTACAGGATTGAGGAGCGCCAGTATGCGCATGCGCAGTGTAGGTGTCAGCGGGTTGGTTGGGCTTGTGTTTACAGCTCTCCTGGATGCTGCTCGCTGCCGATGTTCCCGAGAAAGTGCAATGCCGTGTCAAACGCCATTGGAATAAAAAATCCGTGGACTTAAAGGTAAGCGGGTTTGCGTTTGCACATGCTTAATATTTTCAAAGCCGGAAGTGACTGTCACATTCGTTTTGAGCATAAGCGCCTGTTTGTTGGTGCGAACTGCCTGGGTAGCATTGCTAACAGGCGTTAGCTCAGCAGCCATAATAAAGTAATGGCCTGTGAGGCTGTGGCCAACGCCAGCAAGTCAGCTGGGTTAATTCAGGAAATGCTCGCAAACACTTGAACGTAGCAGTTTACATTACTTACGTAGCGGTGACGGGGTAGCGTGCCCAAATGGTAAATGTGTAATGAAACGTTTGAGTTACTTGAAGTCGATTTTTGCTGTTGCTATCTTTGCTAACGTTAAGCAGATTGGTGATGGCTAACAAACTGAAGCGATAAGTTAACATCAGAGGAGGCGAGGCTCACCCAACATTATCAAACAGAAACTGTTTGGTTTTTGTTCAGATGGCTGTTTAGAAGGGTTTCAGGTTAAAGATTCTATGATGTTTTCTTGGTTGTATTAATTATCTCTCATTATGTCTGCTGGATATTGCACAGAGTATATCCAAAAATAAATAAATAAAATAAAAATTAAGCCAGCTATTTCATGGTCTTTACTTAGATTCTTATTGCGTTTTTACAGTTACTTAAGATCGTTATATGGTTTATATGTGACTGCTAATAACGCCTTGAATGAAACTTCTCTGATTTCAATATAGACTAAGCAGAAGAGTGAATTGTTTTTATTTTTCCTACAACATATTCTAATAAAAACACACCAACATGTTGTGTTGCCAGAAAGTTTGAATATAATTTACAATAAAAAAACAAAACAAAAAACAAAACGTATATGTAAATGAAATGTTACACAATTATGGGGAAGACTTGTGACTTGACTGTTCATCCCAATCAAATGATTATTGCAAAGAAAGATGTAAAAGTGCCTTATCCAGTCTTATTATTGGAAGGTTGAGTGGAAGGAAAATCATGCAGAGTGAACATGGATAACCAGAACCTTGATTGAACAGTGACATAATGCTTGCTCAAGACTTTCAGACAATGAATTTTAATCCTTAAAATATGTCACTCTGGGTGTAATAAATCTATAGAACATGACTTTCACATTTTGAATGTAGATGCATTTATTTAATAAAAAACTATGTGTTAAAAGAGTTAGTTATTCAAATAAAACCCCAAAACTAAAAGGAATTACAAGATCTATCCTTTACCTGAGAGATGACTTACTTGCCTTTTGGAAAATCATTTCAAAGTCATTAATAGCTGTTTTCAACATTATTTATGTGGAAAATGATTTGATTTTCTTATTTATAATTGTTAAAGACATTACTTTATTGCGATAAAAAAGGAGTGTTAAGCAACCTTTCTGATGGGACGTAAGTAGTTATTTGTTATCAAGAGCAGAGATGATATCATTGCATCGTCAGGAGAGCAGTTGGTGTTGCACAGCTCTGGAGTTGAATAGTTGAATAATTTGTATTTCAATGAATTGGCTAATTATCGCAAAAATAATTGTTACTAAATAATTAGAGATCCTATTTTGGTATCTCACCGTTTGTACAGCTCACATTAATGCCAGCAGCTCTCTTGTGTGTTCCCCTTAAAGTTAGTTAGTTATGTTCACTGTTAGATTCCTAAAGTTTGCCAATATGTCTTGATACTTGTTTTACTCATAGATCATTTTGGACTCTTTTAAAATGCTAAAACAGAACAAGTTTGCTGCAATATCTTCAGCTTGCTCCGTGCTGAAGTCTATCTCACTTGGTAGCCTGAATGAACTGCCTCTGTAGAGAAACAGAAACATCAGACATTTTTTGTGTTTCCGCTGATGTTATATTAAACACCTCACAGATGTTGACAATAGCCGAGTCCTTTTTTGCTGCCGTTACAATTTTCACACCTATTTTTGTTGTCATCATTGCGACCTGGTGTTTCTTAGGTATGCTGCGTTCTCTAATCTGAAAGATTCTCAAAGATGCCGATAAGTGGGCAACAAGCTGATTTCCCAGGACACTTTTAATTTTCTTTTTCCTCATTAACTATGATGGTGTTCATTTTCACAGAACACTTTAATTTATTTTTTAGTTACATTTTAGTTTTTAAGGCTTTTAAGAAAAAATGCTTTGCATTTGTTTTAGGATGGTCTACTTCCTGATCTCTCTTTAAGTTTACAGTGTTTCTAAAAGTCATTTTTAATTTTTCATTAGCATCAACACGTCTAATATCAGATCAGCCTGGATTTGTAAAAACAAATGTCAGCAATTTCCATCATCCGTTAAAAATTGTAATTAAGGAAAACTACGGCGACAATTCTTGTCAACAAAACCATCACTACACATGATTAGAGATCAGAAAATGACACTATAAAAGGCTTACTTTATATATGTTGATATATCTGCCACAAATTTGAAACTTGACTGGAAAGAAGCATTGGTTGAATTGACTTTGTATTTTGAATGAACACATTTGATTTGATTCTGACTAGCAAATGACATAAACACCAGCTAGTTATTTAAAAAACACTGTTTCCAAATCGATATTTTAATAACATTTTTAATGCCCTTTTACTTTTGTAAAACTTTGTATACAATTTCTGCTGCACATGCGACCATTCTAAACCTTCACCTTTATAACATTGTTTACTTCAGAGCAAACTCAGTAAGAGGTATGGAAGGAGTTACTCTGTATATTTTCCTCTTGTAATGCCTAAGCCAGTTTTTTACTGTCAGGAATCCTGAACAGTTGTGTGATTGCATAACAGTCATAAGAAGAAAAAAAAAAATCTTAGTCAGCTTTTTTTTGTGGTCTAAATCCTTCAAGTCAGATGTTATACACTTTTATAGCTGATGGAGCGCGTTCACAAAACCACTGAAATACCAAATCACCTTTTTTTCTTTGTAAATATTAACTGTACTGCCATCAACAATCAGTGTTTCACTGAGACCTAGAACACACTCCCTCACTTAATACATAATTACTGCTCCTCTCTGTTGCAAGAGTTTTAATTGCAAGGTACTTTGTCACAATTGAATAACAAAGCTGTGTACTTAGCTGTCTCTGCACAAGGCTAACATCCGTTGGACACGCTCCAGCTCCAGCATCTTGGAAGGCAGCCATGACGGCAGTCCTTGTTCTTGTCTGCAGCCTCAGTGCGCTTGGCGTCACCTGGTTCTAGCTCTGAATGCAAAAGGCCATTAAGCTTGTAGCAGATTTCCCCACAGAGAATAATAGTCGCTGCTGTTGCAGGCTGCAGTGAGGATGTTCAAGTTGCCCTGAGGGATGTAATTCCAGAATGTGATGCTTCTGACCCGCAGCTACAAAAGTGTGGGAAGCAAAGTTTATGGCTGTATCACACTTTATACTGATTAAAACATAAAAAAAGAAGAAAAAGACAGACATGTTGCAACAACTTGGTGATCTACCCTAATAAAATCTCATATAAAAACAGATTGTGCAACTTCTTCAAGTAATTCCGTGAAATTAAGAGAATTAAGAAATGCTAGTAAATAAGCTGTTGACCATTCGTTTTGCTTATTTATATTTGTAAAAGAGACAGTGTCATTAACAGTAGGTCAGTGGGTTAGATGAAAACAAGTGTGGTGGATGGAAACAAATAAGTTGTTGCATGATAAAGACTGAATACAGGTAGATGGGAAAGTGACTGTAGTTGGGATCACAGGATAAGTTCTTGCAGTGTTTTTGTAACCTGCAAGCTGAACTGAAAATTAACTTTGCTTAGTTAGATTTTAAACTTTATGGCTGAATTTATTTTTGTGAAATTACACATCAGACTCCTAATCTCATAAACTGTTTGCAGAACTCTGTGTAGAACTTAATAAACTGAAATAAATAAGCTATGTTTAGCCTGGTGGGGGCCCAAGTAAAGCCTGGTGGCCCGCCAGACTCATAATACGCTGGGGGAATCCCTGAATATATTTATTTTATTCTTATATTAATTTGAGTGGTGGCAATAACTGTGATCTATTTATTACTATCTATTAGTACAAGGTTGCATAATTTCTATCTTTTTCATAGCTCTTCTATAAAGTTTCTAAATTAGAAAATGGTAATAAAAGCCCTACTAAAAATAAATGCAAAATTTTTTCTTTAGCACTTTGAATAATTTAAGCCCTCATACGATAACTTTTTACATTTTCGTCTTCATTCCATTATTTGATCTTCTGAGCTTTTAATGGCTTCCTCCCATCTCTTTGTTTTAACACTTGACACTTGTGTCCTTCACAAAGGTCTTTCTTGATTTTCTTGTCCAGGCATGCTTCAGCTTTTCTTACGCTGCTCTGAAAATTGCAGCTCTTTTGAGTATTTTAGGGATTATTTGGATTTCTTCTGTTTGGTAAAATCAGATGTTCATCAATTAGGCTTTTTCTAATGGACACTGATTTCTCCTAGAAGTCCGACCTGTCAATTCCAGTTTTTACTTCTTCTGTAAAACCTGTGAGGAATAGATTCTACAAAAGTTCTCCAGGTTCTTCGGTAGTGGTAATAATTTAAATCCAACAGAAAATACAGAAAATATGAGATTCCCCTGATAGTATACGTCTGATCTCGAAATACACTATACAAGTATATGCATGTGGTTTGTTGGCACATATGCAAACCAAAAATGATATACGGTTGTTACTTTGATGCACGTAAGGAATAGGAAACATTTAATTTTTCAGTATTGGACCAGCTGATTACTGGTCAGAAATGATTAAAGGAAAATTCCTATTCAATTCTTTAGTTAGTTGATCTGTACATCCCTAATTATAATTAAATCATACCCCTGCCATACAAGTGCCTAGAATAAAATAAATGTCATATCACGTTATGAATTTACCATTACCATCATCTGTTTTCACAGATCTGTCCAAAGGTACATCAAAGGCGTCTATCTTTTTAGAATTTCGATTCAAAAAAGATTTCTTAGTATTTTCAACAAGGTTTGCTTATTATTACTTATTACCCATTATGACAGATACAATTGCTTTAACATTTACAGCTAAGTGTCAAGTTTCCAGAGCTCTGCTCTTTCTAAAGAAGTTGTGACACATCACTGCTAATGAAGCGTTTGTTAAAAAAAAAAAAAAAAAAAAAAAAGCAACAACATGTCTGATGCTTGGTCTTTCACAGTGAAGGGGTTTGTTGAAGTCAGGGAGTCTGTTCAGTAGTACAGGAGGAGCACTTTTCTCACTTGGCTCTGAAGTGGGATAGCTATTGGATCCTCAGGACGTCTAGAATCTAAACTCAAATTTATTAGTGGTTTAGATTCACCTTACATTCCTTTGCCTCCCATTGCATCTCTAGTAGAGACTTGACGACAGTTTGAAAGGGGCAGCTCTAAATGCTCCCTGTTTCTCCCTGTGGCGCTCCCTCTCCTGAGGTGCACATAGGACCCATCTGGCAGCCCCAGAACAGACCGTTCAGCTGGGGAGGGCGAGTGAGCAAAGCAAAACAAAGCGCAAACGGGCACAGTTGATTTCCAGTTTCCAGTTACACTTGCTTTGACATTAATCATACAATTTGCAGAGATATGTTGTATCTATAGAAGGGCCCTTTTTTGTTAGTCTTTATTGGTAAAAATAGTATTTTCACATCAAGCCATTACAGATCACTTGTAGGCTGCAGAGTCATTTGTATGCTAATGAAATTGGATGTAACTGATTCTAATTTAATAATTTGGGATTGAGGTCCTAAAAAATGCAGACCTGACTACGCTGAAGCACTATTATTATACATCTACGAACATATGTAGAGACTCACTGATAACAAAAATGGAGTCAGTTTAGAAGAAGATTTTTGTTGTTGGAGATTTCTTATTATTCAAGCACAATAATTTAGTTTAAGACAAATAACCTCAGCTGCTTGATTAAAAAGTAAAAAACTACAGTGTCTTAGTGGATTATAAAATTGTATTCGTTTTGAGATAGAAATATACTCTGTTTCTTCACCATTTTTAATTGACATTAAAAAAAAATAGTACTCAGAGATGTGCTGGACGATACAGCTTGCAACTAAATTGTAGTCCTTTTTTTATGCATATCAGTTCAGTTATAAAAAAAAAAAAGTCAGCGTCTCTTATGAGGAATAATGGATTTGTCCCTGAAGTTGCAGCAAGGCGCAGCTAAAGAACAGCATGGCTTGGCAGGAGCAGACAGAGATCTGTTGCTGAGGCCAACGAGGAAGACAGGGTGACAAGGCGGCCATTGTAAGTGTCAGAGCTGCCAGTTAAATAGACAGTGTTAGATTGTGTGTGCATCCATACAGATGTGCTCCTGTGTGTGAGCACTCATTAACTGTCATGACACAGCTGTTTGTGTTTTCTTTTCCCATCATGTGGTTTCTAGTCTTTTCTTGCTTTTTGATACATAAATGAATTGGAGCGACGTGGAGTTTTAAGTTTAGTCACAGGATTTTGTGGTACTGTTGTGAGAATGATAAAAAAAAAAATATGATAAGAACTATCTATTCCTGCCTTTGTTTTTAGGTAAATTTAGGTTATGGCTGTGACAGCAATCACAGCTCCACAAACCCTCGAAAAACATTTGGAATGTGCTTCTTTAGGACACCAGCCACATAAAGATGCGATTCGTATCACTAGGCTGCACATATTAACCGAATTTAATCATATTTTTAAATGTATTTTATATTTATTCATGTTCTCGCTGAACAAACAGTGGAGAAAGTGGTCAAACAATCCCAACAATTACGGACATTTTTGGAGAGTTTTAAGCATTGTTAATTGGAATTTATTGTGACAACAATCAATCAAAACTCTTATAAGAAATGAATCATGATATATGGTAAATAATACGATACAATAAATGCCCACCCATAAAATGAACCTGTTGTTGTCTTCTACATGCCTCAAAATTTCCATGATTTTAAATAAAATAATTTTGATTTCAGAAGTTCTCATATCCCAGTTCCCGTCTAATGTAGCAGAACAGCAAACCAGGGGAGTAGAGGAGATTTCAGTTAAATACAATCAGATTAAATCCTCCTTGCTCCGACTTAAAACCCTCACATTGAAAACAAAACATTTGGAAACATCGAGGTTGGGTGGTGGTGGAGTATGGAAGTGATTTGCTGTCAGCATCCTCTGACAATCTTCCTGATCTTCCTGATAAATGTCTATAACGTTTTGTGTTAACACTTTGTACAGCTGCACAGCTAGCTCACCTTTCCAGGCAGTCATACAGAGTGGATTGTGTTTATATAAGCTGTCAAGAATATAATGTTGGTTAATTAAACAAAACAAACAAACACACACAAAAAAAATCAATGCTTTCTATAAAAAATAAAGAAATACATATATACAAGGTTAATTTTAGAAAACATCTCTGTGTTTCCCGTTTAGTAATTTTATAATGAGGTATTGCATTCTTCTTTTCAGTAGACGCAATACTAATTTTTTTAAAGTTCTGATTTGAGTCTGACACAAACTCTGTGAAGAGACTTAAAGTTTAGGGTGATGGCATCGAGGCCTTCTAGCCTCAAGAACTTGGATCTCATCATCAAAGGTAAATTGTTAAAATATCAGTGGAAACGTGCAAAAAAACTGGTAAGCTCTTATCAGTACGGCTTGAAAGCTGTAATGCAAATTCAGATAACCAGCCTCAGGCGGATGACTAGCTGTAGCACACGAGAGAAATGGGATGTGTAGGAACAATGATCGTTGCAAACAGTGAAGCGATCAAGCACAAGCATGTTTGTGTGAGACTGTAGTAACAGTAACAGGTTTCTCAGTTGGGTCATATCGTGTATTGCATTATGAATCGTTGCGTTTCTGCAATAGAAGGAGAGTAAAAGTTAACACCCAGGAACCTCTGAACAGCACTTGTTGCCATTTGTTCTGATGTAAAGTTACAGCTGTACGTTTGTCGTGTTTAGTTGGTGTTGATAACATTTTTGGCAGCACATCACTGTAAAAGCAAATAAAAAAAGAAATGAACAAAGTTTTAGTTTTTTTTTTTTTCAATAATATGTGACAATCATATCTGGAGTGATAGAAAATGTGTGGTCTTTTCTCCTTTTTTGTTCTGCTGTTGGAGGTGGTTTAAGTAGAAAGGGGAAGTTCACACATAAAGCAAGGGAGATCCAGAGAAAATAGAAGAAGGAGATGAGAAAAGCGAGGGGAGAACCAGGAAGTAGTCACCTCCAGAACTTTCTTTTAAACCGTTCTTCCTGTTGCACGCGTTGGCACCTTCTTCATGGCTTCATCTTCTTGTATTTAACAACTGTGACTGCAAGTGAACATAACATTTATTTTAAGGGGAAATACTGACACTGATTAGGTCTTTATGGCAAAGTAGCTTTTTATTTAGTTCCTTACATTTGGATCAGCCCGACTTTGCAGCAAGCAATTAAGCATTCATCTTATTTGTTCTGCTAAAATACACATTACTAAGGAGGAAAAAAAAAACAAAAAAAACTTTCTGCTTGCTACGTTTTTATTTTCAATTATTTATCGCTAACTTTTAAACTGAACTTCACTTTTAATTTATATGTTTTACTGGTTTTGTTTTTCCTTCAGCTGCTAAAAAAAAACCCCATTTAAAAACAAATCAGATTCTTCCTCATTTTTAGAGTTTGGGTCAAGTTTCTGCTTGACCAAAAGAGGCTTTCATTTCCTTCATGACTGCTGTCATCATGAATTTTATTTATTTATTTATTTTTTGCTTTTCTAGGTGATTTTGCTCATCATCTCCCTACACCACCTCCTCCTGTCTTCCATTCATGAGCAGCAGGGTCGAAATTAAAAGTGGCAGCCATGGATGACAAGGGCTCTGTGGGGAAGATTAGCGTATCTTCAGACTCAGTGTCAACTCTCAACAGTGAGGACTTTGTCCTCGTGTCCCGGCTGGGGGACGAGACACCTTCATCCACGAATAATGGTAGTGATGACGAAAAGACAGGACTGAAGGTAAGGACGGGTGGTGTGGAAGGACCAAGGGCCAGTACCATATCTTTTTCGAGGGGGTGGTGAAGGGCGGGGACTTCCAGAAAGTTGGAAACATGCAGAGCTTTGTAAAAGTATTCGTACCCCAAAAACTTTTTCAGATTTTCTTGAACTACAACCACAAACCTCAATGTATTTTGCAGTGATTTTATGTGACGGACCAGAAATATAATACGTGTTATAAAATTGAATATACAAAACTATAATAAAATAAGACAGAAAATCTAACGCTACAAATTGCTTTCTAATCACACAGACAAACACGTGTACAGACTTAATCACTGGCATGCGCACGTACACACACACACACACACACACACACACACACACATACACATATGTTACTTGAATGCATACAGTTACTTGAATGCATTTCCTTGTGTTGTGTTTTCAAATTAAATCTCTACCTGTTTTATACATGCAGAGACGGACATTTTTACTCTTTCCTTTTGCAAAATGGATTAGACCCAATCGAATTGAAAAATATGATTCCTTGTTGGATTTCAAATTGCATGTCACATTTTCAGATTTCATACTATTACTTTGGTCCAGATTTGCAGCGCTGCACTAGTTCGTGTTGAAGGTCTTGGTTGTAACATGCCAAAACAGTCAAGGAGTATAAATACTATTGAAAGGCACTTTGCAATAACATCAAAATTTGTCCTACAGGGTAAATAGCAACATGTCAGCGTTCTCTAATGCGAGAGCAAAGCTGATCTACATGAAGTTTTATTTAGTTATTTGCAGATTGAGGGGTCACCATTTGTAAGGATTAAATTGATTCATCACTCGCCTGTAAACCTTTTCACCTTTTCTCATGTGTAGTTTAGATTGCATTCACTCCTGACCATATGACTAACCATTTCTTGTGTTGCTTTTTTTTTTTTTAATTCTCATTCTATACTTTTCTCATAAATTTAGATCTGAGTAATTTACTTTCACATTTTCTTAACACACTCCTAAACCTTATCTCTGGTTAATTATATAAATTAGAAGCTTGCAGTTTGTCTGCAGTCTAAAATCTTTAGACAATGAAAGGCTATTCTTTGGAAAATGACCGCCATCTTCTGTCAGTCAGCTGGCTCTAATAAAATTATGCTTTATTGAACTGTGTTGTGGTAAACAAAGCTTTGCCTTGTTACAGTTTCCTTAATTGCTATTTATCACTTATTCCAGATGATCATGGATTTTGAGACTGGCTATCGGTTCAGTTTTGCATTTTCACTTTGATTTTGGACTAAGTGGTTTTGCTTGTGTCTTTTATACTCTCCCCAAAGTTTCCTTCACCCCTAATTCCTTTGTTGTACCAGTAGATGGCGCCAGATTAGTATGGAGTTGCATATCTATTTGCAGACCATTGGTATTTCTGCTGCTTCATAATGCTTGTGGATAAAACGCTTTCCCTTTTAGCTGATTTGATCAGCAGTCAGTGAAGCTTTCCTGAGGCCTTCGCGACATCCTCAGCTTGCGGTCAGATATGTGAAAAGCAGCGTCCGACCGGCATCTGTTCACTTTCCTCACGTTGTAGAAAGAAATCACTCCATCCATTGAGCCCCACTCATTCTGATATCATGTTTTTTTTTTCTTCTTTTTTTTTGGCAACATATTTTCTTGCACATTTGCCCCCCAGCCAGCCCATCTAGTCAGGAGAGGAGCCAGCATGTCTAAACTTGTTGTTTGTTATGCAGGTGATTTCAGAGGAAGGGGTCAGCTTTAAGGTCAGTCCTCTTCTCCTGCTTATTTTCTTTTCCTTCTCTGAGAGCAATTTCTTTTGCTTTCCTTTGCTCTATCTCTGTGATGTGATTTAGTGGTGATCCTGTCTGTGATTATTCCTGTATTTGTTTCTCTTATTATTGTGGGGTAACTTTGCAATATCTGGCTGTTAATTATGGTGTTCACTGATGGTATTACGCTACCTGCCCGAGCTCGCAGGTATACCTGCAAATAAGTGATGTGGTTAACTATTTGTGTAGCATCCATTGAGCTGGAAATGGACGTTTGAGTGAAACGGTATTAGAAAATGGTCTAGATATTATCTTAATTGAGTTTGCCTTCCAATAACAGTGCAATAAGCCACTGATCTCGGTCAGTACCAAAAAGCCTCCGATGCAGTTTGTCTTATTTCATTCTGCCCTCCATGTGGAGATGTTATACACCCTATACTGACCTTCTACTAATCACTAATATTAAATGAAACCTGATGAAAATATATCTTTAAAACCATCACTAAGCAAAACTTTATTATTTTTTATTTTTTTTTAAGAAGATTACAATCACTCAAACTGCATTGTGAAATCAGGTGTAAGCTGTTGGTAAACGGTTGGGATGTGCTTGCTGTCGGCTTCCGTCTCTCATGGCGATTGCTGCGCAGGTCTTTATGTTTCTTATCCGGACATTAACTTGCAATATTTTTCGCCCCTGTATTTCTGTCTTATTTTGACGTGCGTGCATCAGATTGTGGGGAATGGGAGTGAGCAGCAGCTCCAGAGGGAGTTGGAGGACGTCCTCATGGACCCGTCGGTGGCAGACGCTGGGCTCGGATCAGAGGCGATGAGCAGCCTCGGCCCCAGTGACCATGGGGTTCTTCCTAACGTGACGTCCCCCATACCGGCAGGCACCGACCCGTTAAGTTCGCCTCCGCCCAAGCTGGAGATGGTGCTCCCTGTTCAGACGGCCCAGGAGAGCGAGCTGAATGAGAGGTCTTACAGAGGTGAGGAAGGGTGGCACTGTTTCAGTCTTAAACAAGTAAAGTGGGGTCTGCCTTCCTCAGCTCTGTTGCAAAACCAGCCAAATGGTTGGTGGATTCCTTGTATTACCCGAGTTCAGGATGCTGCTGATTGCTGCTGAGAAGTGCTGCAGAGTGGCACACATGTTTATTCACCCACATCTGTGCAACATTAGTTAACGATTAAATGATTACCCAATAAACTGACGATTATTTCAATAATTGCTTCAGCACGATTAATCTGATTAAAGTAAACGTCGTCTCTCCTCCCCCTTTTTTTTTTTTTTTTTTTTTTTACTCCTGTGCTCTGCAGCAGATGAATCGTCATCAGAGGGAAGCCCTTGCAGTCCAATCCCGGACGAGGACAGCGTTGTGTTCAGCCAGCTAACATATCTGGGGTGTGCCTCCGTCAACGCCCCCCGGAGTGAAGTGGAGGCCCTTCGTATGATGAGCATTCTCCGAGGGCAGTGCCAACTCCCGCTGGATGTCACACTTTCAGTGCCAGGCGTGTCCGAAGGCACTGTCAGGTTGGTACAACAAAAAGGTTGAGCAAGCACTTATTTGACCACAATTCTCATATGTTGTACACATGGGACATTAGAAACTGAACAGAACACTTAAAAAAAAAAAAAAAAAATCATATTTCATGTTTTAACAGGTTGTTGGACCCCCACAACAGCACAGAAATTGCCAATTACCCCATTTATAAGATCCTGTTCTGTGTCCGAGGCCACGACGGCACACCAGAGAGCGACTGCTTCGCCTTCACCGAGAGCCACCACAACGCAGAGATCTTCAGGATTCACGTGTTCCGCTGCCAAATCCGAGAGGCGGTAAGAATTCTGTTTATACTTTATAAAACATACAACATGTATCTCAGACTTTGCTGCCAAGGTAAGGGTAAGTTGATTTGATTTTATGTGGCACCGATTCACAACAAATGTCATCTGAGAGCACTTTAAGAAATAAAATGTTCCAGCTGCTGTCCAGTGTAACAAATTCAATTGGTGTACTAGTTGGGAGGAGAGGAATGAAACAGGAAAAAAAAAGAACCTAGGCTAGATTTTCATTTGGAAAAAATAGAGTAGGTCCTGTTAATGGCTTCATCAAGGGAAGAAACATTATTTTAAAAAAAGTAGGTCTAACTTGGTCCAGGAAAGAATCGTGGCTTCACACAAACATGGCTTCTTTGGAATGAAGGGCAAAAAGTGCACCCCATATGGGCACTGTCTTCCAAACGCAGGAACACAGTGAATGCACTTAAAAACAAATAATGCATAGATTGTAAGTAACAGGAGAAAATTGCAGATGGCAGAAAAGTACATGCCGTACATGCAACAGAATTGAAATCTAATAGGTCAGTGAAATGTTTATGCCATCAAGCCATTCAGATAAACATCAAGTTTGTTCGCAAACACACTGCCTGAAGGAATTGACGTTACAGGTATGTAAAAGGCTCCACAGATTTGATAAGAGCGAACAGATTTACTGAAAAATTGGGTTAAAGTACAGCTGCCGTGTTCAGTGACCTGATTCCTCCCACATGAAAGCACTCGGTGTAGCTAAGAGCCTTCAGACAGACACTGCTTTAATAGTCCCACTTCATCCCATTGTCCAGAGCCTCAGACACCAACCAAGAATAGATATGCTCACACCATAGCACTTAAAGAGCACTAGCACAGTCAAATTAACACTCACACATTCAAACAAGGATATTTCTCTGTAACAATTAGTTTGTTTTTCTAAGTAACTTGAATTCTCTGTGGCCCAGTTCTTCCATTTTCTTCACGTTTTCAGTTTTAATTTCGCCCCACCTTAATTTTTCATTCCTTTCAACCAAGTCCTGAGCTATGCACACTATTTTCTTCTGTTTAAAACATTTTCTGAGCTCAGAAAAAAAAAAAAAAAAGAAGTGTATTTTCTCACTGTGCATGCATGAAGCATGCGACTCCCCTGTTCTTTACACCACCTCCTTTGTGGGCTCAGGCCCCTTAGCTTGTTTCCAATAATTGCTGGTTTCCTGATGGAGAGCCCCACTGTGTCTCACACCCGGCGATTTCTCTTTCTCAGCTCACTGTTGCTGGTTGCCAGCATAGATGTATTTATTAGGCTTTCCAGAACACATCTGCTCAGTTTCACGACTTTTTTTTTTTTTTTTTAGAAAAATAGTTTAAGCTTATTCTCCTATTTAAATTTCCCTAAGTATACTTATCAAGATTGCGTCCTCCAATTAATGTAACGCTAAAAATGTTCACAGTTCATTGGTAATTTGTCTGATATTTCCTGTATGGATTGTAGACTTTAAAATGTTTAAAATTTCTTAAAATTAGAAACGTTCCTGGTGTAAAACTTATGGAAACATCATATAGGCGAACCCTTTCTGTGTTAGCTCTTTGTTTAAATCTCCCGTTGGTTTTTGTTGCATTTGGCTTTCTAAATTAGAACTGTAAAGAAAGAGAGAGAGAGAGAAGAGAAGATAGTTTATTTAGTGGAATCAAGTTCCTTTCTTTAGTTTTTATTTTTTTCAGTGGGGGTGGGGGCATATATGAGAATTGGTAAATGTCCAGTTGGTATATGTCAGACTACATACATTTACAGTGAGTGTGCTGGAAAAGCTCCTTCAAGCTGCAGAAGAAGAAATCCATCTGAAAACAATAAAATCTGGAAACAGTTACTTGAACATTAAGCTGAGCAGGGAACAACACTTCTATTGTGTTAAATGTTATTCTTTCTATCAACACATGGGTAAGACCCCCTCCATTTAGCTTTCTTAACCCCCCCTCCCCCCCCAACACTCACTTCCATTCTAATTTGGTGCCTTATGAAATAGCCCCTCTGCAGTCCCCTAATGTTCTTCCTCTTTACCAGGGACAAAACAAACACTGCTTTATTCTCAGGTCTAAATAAACAAAAAAAGGTCTTGTTATTCATTGGTAACAGCAGTTGCACCGCATCATCTCCCTGTACTCAAAAGCTTTGTTGTTTACCACTTTTAGAAATGATCAAAAAGTGCTTTAAAGTGAGCCTCAAGCCGGGATGGAGGGGTCTTCTTTAACACAGGCACATCTGTCTGTAATAATCTAAAGTTAAAGGACTCACCGAGGGAAAGGTACATTTAGAGAATGTGACTAAATTATCACTTCCTTCTTGGCAGGCTCTACCTGTACCCAGTTTTGATTTTGGAGATTTACCAGAACCCGTTCGGCTGCTTCTCGTAGTCCAGACTTGTCTGTTTAGTGTTAAGGGGCCATACCTCAACCGGCTAATTCTTCTCCAAAAAATTATGTTAAACGACCAACCTCCTCAACTTCCCCTCCAGAAACAGTTGACGAGATGAGGGAAGCACACCAACATCGGCCGACACCAATGTTGGCGTCAATGTATCGAGCATCCGCTTTTGCTCGTTACTTAACCTTTCAACTCGGGCTGCACAGTATGTTAAACTCCTATGAAAATAAAGCATTTTGAAGAGAGTGAGGCTATGTTATTTTTATACTTGGAGATGATTTGGTGCTTTTAACCCTCCTGCAGTTGTAAGCGATAGGGTCACTTGGACCCCACAAGTGCATGGTCTGGCAGGGTCTCACTGACCCCACGTGCACTTTTACAGGTTTTTATTTTGAATGGTTTCAGGAACTGATGGGCAATCCTTCCCCGGAACCCCCCGCTTCGCCGCTGTCTGATTGTGACTTTTGCCTTGTTCCTCCTGAGCATCACGCTACGACCAGCGGAGGGTTAAATAATAAAGCACGTACTTTGCAGCCTAGTGACTTAAAAGGAAATTAAAAAAAAAAAGCTAATCTCTTGGCATGTTTTCACATTAACTACTAAAACAAGCCTTTCTTAATTTTATATAAAATTTGTTCAATTAAAATTTCAACTTAATAAATTAGTTTTGGTCAAAGTCGTTCAGAGCCACTGGATAGGCTAAATCGACACCCCCACACCCCTGAGCTAGACAAACACATGCAACACATTGGTCCGTTCATAAGCATAGCCACTTTTCCATGGAAAGTAGATGGTCTTATGACAACTTGTGCTCAGTTCTTCTTTTGTTTAGCCCCCTAGTGTGGCTTCAGTGCTGTGTACGCATAATAGGTCATTTAGTAACCACATTGCAAAAAGCTCAAGCGCTCTCATTCACTTTATTTCTAATATTCTTGCTGTCGTCAACTCAAGTCACGCTTTATTTTGAACTGTGTAATCAGTAATATTTTACTGTTAAATTACATTTTTAAGCTGTAAAACAGGGCTGCATGATTTCAGAAAAACATGGAATGATGGATGTGAATGTTGCTATGATACTTTACCGTCTTTCTGCTTTGGGTAAATCTGTTGTTGCAAGCTATGATGAAAATTAAAACATGTTTTTTTCTTCTTTTTTAAAACCTGCAAAAGAAAAAAAAAACAACCCCTGAGCTGTAGTTTCTTAATGACTTTACAAGAACCCCTAATAGATATTATAAATAAATCTTACTGAAATAATAAATTGTATGTCAGAAATGTATTGCATTTGATTGCATTCCTTTTCCCTTCTTTTCCCATGGTTGATTGCATGTTGTTCGCCTCTGCTTCCAGGTGAGCCGGATACTGTACAGCTTTGCCACGGCCTTCCGGAGGTCAGCTAAGAAGGCTCTGCTGTCGTCTCAGCAGAATGCCCCGCTCACCCCTGACAGCGACTTGTTCACCTTCACTGTTAGTCTGGAAATCAGGGAAGATGATGGCAAGGGTACTTTTAGGTAAACTCACATTCAAGGTTCTTGATTTGTACTTGCACACAGTGTAATTTAGAGATGTACCGGTTAATTGGGTGAAGCTCATAATCAGATTTTTTATTTTTTATTTTCTTGATTTACTGCTCAAATAATGGAAAAAAAAAATCTATTTTCCACCTTCTAATTCTGTTAAAACCAAGCAGTCCAGCATGTTCAGGCCTTGAAGGTGTCAACCTGATGCACACTGATTTACTTTTTAGAAACTAGATAAAAATTAGAGACACGTGCTTTGATGTGCAAATGGGAAAAATCTCGTAATCCCTTCACTTTGTGTTGGATTCAAAATGAATAGAAGAATAGTTGTTGAGAGAAACGGGAAACATACACTCAGGCTCTTCCTAGCGTTGCAGATAAGAAAGCAAAACAGAAAGTTCCTGCCTTTGCTACATCTACACTCATCACAGCTTTGACCTATTTTTAATTTTATTTTTGTTTTCCTGTAATACTGAGTCACGTCCGTGGGTTTGCGAGAAAGCTTGCTCCACATGATTGAATCACACAGAAAACAAAGCAAAACAAAAAACTGAATTATTTTTAGGCTCCACATTTCCTCCTCATTAGCTTTGAGTTCATTATTATTAGTGTCCTTCAGACAGGAAGTTTGAATGTAGGGTAATTTTTCTGTATTATGAGCTTTTTTTCCTTGTGTAAAGTATCTAATGTGATGTACAATGCTGTGTGGAAACTTCTCTGTAGCATAGTGTTGCTAAAGGCTTTTCAGTCTTAAAGAGGTAGAGATTTTCTTATAAAGTTAAAATGGGGGACACAGTTTGAAAGCTTCTGGTCAATAGATTTCTATGAGTCGCTATTCAAAAGGGGGCGTGTTTTGGTTATCGGACTACATCCTGGAATTCACATTATTGAAATACTTGTCATATAGCTCAAAGTGACTGATATTGTTTCAACTTGGTTGACTCAAACTTTAGACTTTCCTTGGCATTTCCACAGAAATGTATGTCAGTGAGGCTTGGAGAATGTTGATTACCATTTCTGTCAAAAAACAACAACAAAAAAAAAAAATACCTGGTGCCGATCCAGATCCACAAACTGTGCAGGACAATGAGCAGAGGCTGTTTGAATGTGGCTCGTGGTGTAATTTGATTTTGATTTAATGTCTCTGTTCCAAACTTGACCCCCTTTTTATAAACGTGCAAGTTCCGTCAACCTGTCCAGCTTTTCAGTTTCACATTTAACATCCAACTTGTTTCTTTAAATATAATACTTAAGAAAACTAAATCTATGTCATACTTTTATAAGCATGAATTTTCTTTTTTTATTTTTTATTTTATACATTTTCAGTGCTGTGGCAAAAGACAAGGACAAACAGAGCTTCAAGCTTCGTGCTGGACTGGACAAGAAGATTGTAATTTACATTCAGCAGACCTCCAACAAGGAGCTGGCAATCGAGAGGTAAAACACTCCACCAAAACACCCACAGTTAGATGCACGTGTAGTGCATTTTTGCATAATTTGTGCAGAATTATCAAGTAAAGAAAAAAAATGATGATTGGTTTTCATAATATTTCTTTTTAACTAATATGATGCTGCCACCACCGTGTTTCACATTATTTCCCTGCCACATTGTGGCATATTTCTGTTTATAACATAAAATCCCAACAAAATACCCTGACATATATGTTTACAACTAACAAAATGTGAAAAAAAAAAAAATGTTGGAAGGTGTTGTATACGTGTAGGAATCATTGTAATGTAACATGAAACGTTACGATTCCCCTTCCGCTTCCTTTCACATTTGAGGCCCTCACATTTTCCCATAGTGTTTGACTGAGAAAAGTAAATAGGGAACGGCAGTATTACAGAGACTCTCTGGAGCCCCTGTGACTCAGTGGGGACAGCTATTGTTTTCAAATAGTTCCTTAACTGCAGCTGCCATACTTTCTTTGTTCGCAGTGAACAAAAAATAAGGAGAATCGAGCTGCACAACACCCCTGGGAGAGTTACATCGAAATTTAATGTTGTGATCGACTGAATGTTAAACTGATAGCTATCGCTCCCCTTCCGCTTACCATGTCAGCAGGATTCAAGTAAATCTTTTAAGCCAGGTCCAAATTAAGGAAGTTCTGCAAAAGTGTAGTGAAGTCAAAAGGAATAGTTTGCCAAAAAGGAGGATGTTCCTCTTTTTGGTCCGACTCCTGCTTGAGCCTGAACCAGATGTTAATAAGAAAGCAATCTCTCAGTTGTAGTTGATTGACTCAGAACGTCTTCATGTCTCTGCGTCGGGGTTTAAGTAGCCCAGGGCAGCTGTGGTTTAGCCCGCTCTTACTCACAGCCTCTCATTTTTCAGGCTTTAATAAATCTGTTAAATTTCGGCATTCCCAGCAGATTTCCATTTTCTGCTTGAGTTGTTATTGTTTCGTAATGTCAGAGAAAGTGAGGACTGAAAGAATGTGTTTAGTCTTCAACGTGGTCTGGACTGTGTTAGACCATCCGTTCAGGAAAGTATTTCTCCTCATTTATGTAATGTATCAAAACTTTCGCTCTATATAGAAAGAGTTATTGTTTTACGCCTGGTTTTCTGCCTTGTTTCTTTTTTTTCCTCAGTTTTTTTCCCCTTATGTAATCCTAATCATGGCACACTTCTCTATCTCCCATCCGCACATGCGTGTTTATTATTCTCCAGGTGTTTTGGACTCCTGCTCAGCCCGGGGAGAAATGTGAAGAACAGCGACATGCACCTGCTGGACTTGGTGGGTGACTATTGTTGTTTATTTATTTATTTTTTGCTTGTGTATTGTACGTGTTGTGTTTCTGTGTGTTATTTGCCAACTTGCTCCAACTTGTGTGCCCAACAGGAGTCAATGGGAAAGAGCTCAGATGGGAAGTCTTACATCATCACAGGAAGCTGGAACCCCAACACGCCTCAGTTTCAGGCTGTGAATGAGGAAACACCCAAAGGTAAGAGCCAAAAATGCTCTCTCAAGGTTCAGATAAGACTGAATTGTTCTCAAACTTATAACACGGTTTATATTTGCTATGTACTCAGTTGGAAATTCAGTCATATTTCTATTCCAGTTTGTGAAATATGCGAATAGACGACTTCTCGCCAGTTGGAGTGTGTGATATTTAATCTTTTTTTTATTTATTTTTTATTTCAGATAAATTCATGTACATGACGACTGCAGTAGATCTGGTGATTACAGAGGTGGAGGAACCGGTCCGCTTTCTGCTGGAGACGAGGGTCCGAGTGTGTTCCCCAAATGACAGGCTGTTCTGGCCCTTTAGCAAGCGTAGCTACACTGAGACCTTCTACCTTAAACTACGACAGGTTTGTCTCCATAACCAGACATCGGCTCTGTCAACATTGTTCTGGTAAAGTGGGTTTCAGATGGTCACTTTGACACCTCTATTTTTTATTTATTTATTTTTTTTTATTTTATGAATATTAGTGTATGTATGTTGCTTTTTATTTAAGTTGTTCTGACCAAACTGAGCTAAGCTGACTTAACTGATTTATTTGAGTAAAAATTCCCTGATATGACTGTTAACAAAAATCTACTGCATGAAGAATTTGATGTTGTTTAAAACCAAAAAAACGAAGGAAAAATTTTTTTTTGTCGCTTCAATCACAGTCATAAAGCAAGTTACCGGGATGGCCCTCATGCAGCCATTTTTAATAGGGTAGTTTTGAATTTTTCAAATTATGATAAGTAAGCTTCAAATAGCTTCAGTTGATAGAAATACTGATTACTTGAGTATGGCTGATTAGAGAGGAAGCAAGACCAGTAAATTTAAAGAAAGGAATCTCTTTTTTTTTTTTTTCCATTAAATTAATTTCGCTATATTTTTGGAATCAATACTCTTAATTTTCAGCATATTTCTGATGGGAAGATCAGTGGTGGTGCGCCACTTTTTACCTCCATTTGTTGTGTAAATAATTAAATGCACAGGTTCACAAAATAGAGTTTGCACAAATTGAGAGGATGGAAGTCCTCTTTTCTGACTAGCACTAATTTATTGTTATTCATGGCGAGTAAAATCACCATGTAAGTTGTCTGCTGCGGATAAGATAACAACTGCTGTTGCCAGAAACGCACTTCAATAATTCTGATGTATTGGTTTTAAATATGGGCTTCTGGAAAAGTCAGCACAAGTTATCTTGTCAGATAATTAGAGTGTTAACATTTTTTTTTTTTTTTTTTGTATAATTTAATATCAACACAAGTCCAGCTGTTGCATGAAGGCCCAGGAGGTTTGCTAGAGAACATTAGTGAATGACATACTTCACCGACTCAGTCTTCCCCGAGACGCGTTACAAAGTTGTAAAGCAGAAGCAAGCCCCCTTACTGTAACTCATTATGCTTTCCCACAGTTTATCAGACGTCTTCTCTTCTCAGATGGAGCGAAAAGAACGAAAGAGTCCTTCCTCTGACACACTTTATGAGGTGGTGAGTTTGGAAAGTGAAACGGAGAGAGAGAAGAGGAAAACCACAGCCAGTCCAAGCATCCTCCCGTCTGGGCCCGGGACCATGGCTCCTTCACCGCCGGAGGATGACGAAGAGGAAGGTGATCAACCGTCTTTCTGCTGCAGCCAACTCAAAACAAGAGGGAGCTATAAATTAGTTTACACATGAACACTGGAGGCTGTCCAGACCCCAGAAATAATAAATAGTGGTGCTGTTGAGCCTCTTGAAATTAATAAAACTTACATCACACAACTTAAATGGGTTATTTAAGCATTTGTTATCTGATTTATACAGAACTTCACATAAGAATGAAAATCCGTTCCTGTGGGGCAGCACCAAATTTAGCCATGCACTCTAGTGGATTTGAAATTGTGCACTTTTTCCTAGAGAACCGTTTGTTCTGCTTTGTCCTGGGTACATAACCAGCAGACATGTTTTAGTCAGGGATTTTTTGCTTGACTGAAAGAGCTGACAAAGGTTGAAAAATTACATAATTTGCTGTAGATTGGTTCATTTTTTACCTATGAACACAACTGTGACTTTATGTTTTTTTTTTCTTTTTTCTTTTCCATCAGTTGCTTTTTACATGAACTGTAGCCATAAAAATAATAATAGTATTCACAATGTTGCTTTATTGAACTTCGCAGGGAAAATTCAGTCATTACATCAGATTCTTTTTTATTGTAGATTCAGTTTATTTGGTAAAAATAAAACTCCTTTTTCGGGCTAATTATCTCACCATCTTGTTTTATGTTCATCTGATGTGACATGCACTAATAAAGCAAGAGTGTGCTGAACGGCTAACCGAGGATTTTTGCTTCCTGTTTGCCTTGCTTTGTGTCCAGATAACGACGAGCCGCTACTCAGTGGGTCTGGTGACGTTTCAAAGGAGTGTGCAGAGAAGATCCTTGAAACCTGGGGAGACTTGTTGTCCAAATGGTGCGGATTTGTTCCCCCTACTAATTTTGTTCTTTGACTCTGGATGTTGGTGGATTGAATACATGCAGGTCGGGTTGCATCTGTTCCAAAGGTCATCGCTTGCTTATTACAGCGTATTAGGGTGGTTTCCCTCACCACTTAGCATAATTTTAACAAGAAACTTGTGATCAACTCCGTAACAAAAACAGCGGTTTAACTAGATGTAACTCAATAAAAGCATATCCATTTGCAGTTCTGACAGTTCTCGTTTTGAAGAAAAGATAAGTTATATTTCTTGTTTATTATGAATGTAGATGTATGTCTTTTAAGGGCAGCAAAGGAAAACATGATGCTCTGTAGGTTTTTGGGGTTTTTTTTGTTTCTTCTCTAATACAAGAAAAGGAATCATAAGACATCGCTCTAACCCTTTTGGTGACTTTTTTTGTGTGTGAGTAAATAAAGAGACTGTGTTCCTGCAATGTGAGGTCAAAGCACTCCAGCAAATCACAAAAAGACCTTTAAAGTTGTTGTTCCCCGAGGACCAAACCTGGCAGTTATTGCATCACATGCTTGGGCACGCTCAAATAAAAATCACCTTCGCTGTGTCTGCAGAAAATACCACGGAGTTATGCAACATGACCCTTGGAACAAATAAGCACATAAAAACTGTGAATAGATTTAAATAAATTATAAAAGATGGGTAAGAGTAAGAACATTATCAGAGAGAGAGCATTTGCTTATTTGCTGATTTCTGTTGTTTTGCTTTGTTTTGCCACGCTCCATTGTTTTAGATCATTAAACAACCTATAAGCATAAGCTGAAAACATGCAAAATGACTTTTTAAATGGTGATTCCGTCCATTGAGATGTCGATAAGCTATCCGGATCAACCCGGCTCTATGTAAACAAGTGTTTACCCCTCAAACCAAGTAACTGCTTGTTGCCTCTATTGGTGGCAACAACTTCCGTCAAGCGTATGCGACAACATGGTGGCGAGAATTTTATTTTGTCGTGGAGGAATTTTAGCACACTCTTCTTCTTCCTTTTTTTTTCTTCTGCCAGATGGGTAGGGTTGTTTGAGAATGAACGGAGCGTTTAAGGTCGGAGCACATCTGAATCAAATCGGTACAGGATAACGGGAAGTTACTTTTTTAGTAGACTAGGCTTATGTGGAAAGCTATTTTCCCTTAATAATTAGAAATGTTTTTGATCTGAAACATGTAAATGTGGCAAAAAAAAAAACAACAACCCAGAAATAGGTGAGGTGAATTAATGCTTTTGTCAAAACACTATATCTCTGAATAATTATATTAGTCGCTTATTCTGACATGTTAGACTTAAAGAAAAGTGGCTTCTAAGTGCACAGAAAGCTTAAATGTGTTTTAACCAACCAACATAACATTAAATTTTCTATTTGATGACTTTTTGCTTTTTACTCTGTTATTTTTACTGCTGTTGCCAAAAAAAGCCGGTGGTGAAATACAGCACGGTTATCCCAACAGGGTGGATAAATTACAGACACAAGTTAAATATTCAGAACTAGATTCATTGTATTTTTATTGTAAAATAATAGCGTTTTTATCTATGATTGATTTCTTCCTCTTGTGGAATGTGGGAGCATCAGCATGTAAATCATTTTTTTATTCGTCTTGCGTTAAATGAGGAGCCCTCATCCTCTAATCTCGGTCTCATAAACTATCAGTGAAAATACAACTCAATTCTTGATGACTATGGAAAACAGTCTTTTGAGCTCAAACGGCAGCAAAAAAAAAGAATAAAAAATTTTTGCCAAACTTTACTAAAATGACGACACAGGTAAGAAAAGGAAACGCATAGGGAGTGGTGATTAACATTAAATTGCGCTTCTGTTTGCCTCCGTCTCATCTAGGCACATGAACCTATCTGTGCGTCCAAGGCAGCTGCCGGCGTTGGTGCGGAGCGGCATCCCTGAGGCACTCCGTGGGGAGGTGTGGCAGCTCCTGGCAGGCTGCCACAACAATGACCACCTGGTAGAAGAATACCGAACTCTCATCACAAAGGTGAGGCCACACAGAAGAATTTCTAATGAATTTCAAATCTATATCTGTGGTGCTTTTTTGTGTGGAAACCGTTTCAAAACGCATACAAATGTTCTCCTTAGTATCAGTTCAAATTTGTGATTGCGATTACATCCTAGAAGTCTACATTTCGCTACGGTTTTGTGTTAAGACATTGCTCCATGCGTACAGAACTTATTGAGGATTGAAATGACAAAAAAAAAAGTACATGTTGAAATATAAACGGTTGACTAAATGGAGAAGAAAGAATATTTAAGGTTTTTTTCCCCACTGGGGTTGGCCCTAATGGTGGTTCTTAACTGGTTCTGAAAAAGAACTAGCTTGCTTTTCCAACACCTGATATCCAAGTTGGAGCCACATGAGTCAGAGGTTTGTCCTTTGACTTCCAGCACATTTTTTTGTTTAACTAAGGCAGGTTTGTTTGTTTTTTTGTTGTTGTTTTTCTCCTTTAAAACATTGTTACTGTTGTTCTCCGTAGCAACCGTCCGAATTTATTTGTGGTTCTTTTGGAGCGCACCTCGGGGGTTCACCAGTGGCCATGTTTCATAAGATTTTTTTGTCTCGCATGTGCTTTTAAACTTGTGATGGTCACAGCCGTTTTTCTCTAGATAAGGCTATCAGATAACTGTGTTATAAAAGCGCTACGCCTTTGTTCATAAATGGAAAATGGCTTTTTTATTGTTTGGTGAAAATTCAAATTATGCTTTTTTGCACTTGAAATAGAACAAAAGTGTCAGCAGTATGTACAGTGCCACTTAACACTTACAGACACCTGTGATAAAGAAAAATGCCTGACAAAAAACTGTACGCTTGTGCTACTCTGTAATTGGTTTGGATGCGATCTGATCTTAGATCGTTACCTCCTTGGTTTAAAGTCATTGTTTTGTGGTTATTGTTCTTATGTAAAAGCAATCTGGCTCCCAGGAGGTAACACGTTTGCCTTTCTGCTTTCTCATTTCCTTTACCTCAATTGGTCTAAAGATCTTTTCTCATCACTGTCTGTACGTGAAGCCTCATGTTCTCTTGTTCTTCAGGGTTCCCCCCAGAAAACTTGCTAAGCCCGGTGGTCGGGGCGTCGAGTCGGTCCACCGTGTTTTGTATTAAAAGATGTTAAGTTGACAGGAAATATTAAAGTATTACTGTGTAATTATATGTTACAGGGAAACATCTCCAGTGAAATGCTATTTAAACACACAACTAGCCTAAAAACAACAAATTTGCACTTCTGTTTAATCCAAATTAAGTCAGCGGCTCCATCAGGCCCCCAAGAGCTTCAGGGGCCCCATAAACGCTAATATTTTAAAACAGACCACAGATACATAAATGTAACATTTGTTTATTGAGATTATCAATGCTGTTAAATTTTATTAAATTGTTTAGGCATAGATACATTTTATTATTCTAAATTGTTTAACATTTAAATACAAGATTTTAAGAAGCTGGGAAGTTTACTTTGTAAAACTTCAAAGAACAATATTCATAGTTAGATTGTTTTGTTACCATAGCAACAATCTGATGCTGTGAGTTTAATCTTTGAATTTACAAATCCAAATTAGTAAACTGCGATTATAACTTATTGCTTTTTAGGCTGGCCAATTAAACTGCTTCCTTCTCCCATATTTCACTAAATCTAACACAGAAGCTGTTAGAGGTGTTGATATTTTTAGCAACAAAAGGGGCCCCTAAGTCAGATTCTGCTCCAGCCCTCACACAACCTTGGACCGGCCCTGCATGATGAGGTAATCTGCTGCACTACGCAGAGATGCGCAACAAACGGGAGATTTAATTCAATGCTGCTAATGTGGCTTGAGTAGCTCTTCCATTTCGTGTCTGTTGAGTTTTTAATAAGCGTCACAGAAACTATTCTGGTTGGTCGAGTTTATGGGACGAGTTTCTCAGATCTCCATACGGCCGTGCGCATTAACTCTAAGTAGACAACGCATTTGATATGGTTTGATGCATTGTGTAACCAAAAAAATAATACTAAAAATAATATAAAATCAGCGTGATGCGTGACTCCGAGGAGAGCGTTAAAGCTCCTCACCAGGCTGAACCTGCATGATCAGGTTAGCGCTGCTCGTTATCCACAAACGCTCCGGCAAACCGGGACCACAGATATAAGCTTTACAGGGAAGACAGACACAGAGCCACACGCTGGGCAGCGTGTTGAGATGTATATAATTGTTCGTTCACAAAGATAAATCATTCTCACCGCTCCACAACGCGCACTTCTGAATTCGCTACAACTTATTCCTGCGGTTCACATTGAGCTGCGCAACCAGAGCTATCGCGGCGGGTTTTAAACTCTTACCTAGAGTTCTCCAAAGGATCATAATTCCTTACAGTAGGTTTATGTAAACATCCATACAGGTCAGCCTGTGTCCAGTTTGAGTGAAAGGAGGTGCACGCGATCCCGCTGAGGTAAAGCAGCGGCAGCGCGCGAGGCAAAGCGCAGAGGCGCCAGCGGTGTGATTAGTCCACGCGCTGTCGGGTGTAAATGCATAAACTATAAACCTATCTATTATAAACGTATCATTTAGAAATAAATCTGCTCTGCTAGTGAAATGCTAAGAGCAAAAGAGACGCTTGCAGCTCGGCTTTAAAACCCCCCAAAAAAGACGTGTTTTTTTTTTTTTTGTTTTTGTTTTTGTTTGTTTTTTCCTTTTCCTAGAAACGTAAACAAGCAACGCTTAGCCTGGCGACGGGGCTAGTAATGCATGGTGGGCCGCCAGGCTTATAATACACTGGGGGAAACCCTGACAAGCATAAAAATCAAAACATCTACAATAGTGACAGTAATATTAATGGTAAAATCATTATTTTACCATTAATATTACTGTCACTATTGTGACAGT